TGAGTAGATAATGGATGGGTAGATGATGGGTGAGTAGATAATGGATGGGTAGATGATGGATGGATAGATAAGTAGATGATGGAAGGATGGATGGATGGTTGAGTAGATAATGGATGGGTAGATGATGGATTGATGGATGGATAGATGGATGGATGATGGACGAGTGAGCAAATGCAGGTCCTCAGGCCTACCTGATTCTAACTTCCCCTTTGGCTTTTCTCCAAATCCCTTAGATGACAGGATTTGCAGGGTCTCTCTCCTCTTCTTTCCATCTCTGCCTCCCTAGCCCACACTTTCCCCTTTCCCTGTTGTGTGTTTATTGAACAGTGTTGGCTGTGCCCCAGCGTGGTACCTCAGAAACTCACTCGGTCTGCCTGGCCTTTCCAGGCAGTGGGGGGGGGGGGGGTGGTCAGGGGCTCTCATGAGTGGTAAAGTGTGAGTAGAGGGACAGCCAGGACCAGGCCTAGCTGCCTGAAGGAGAGGGCAGGGCAGAGAGAACCCAAGCGCTGTCGCCTGGCTGTAGGCTGTTAGTGAATGTCAGTGAGTGTGATAAGGAGTAGACCCAGTTCTGGGAAGTATTTGCACAGTGGATTAGCTAATGACTGAGGGAAAATGGTCAATATTTGATTCAGTTGTAAATACCACAGAACTAACAGAGAATGGGGAAAACTCAAGCGCGGGCTGGCTCTGCAGCCGGTAGTCTGTGCCGCAGTCCTGTGAATGTCATCCTGCCCATTCACCTGTCGCTCGTCTTACCCAGGTTTATTCCTCCCCTACTATACGTTCAGCGGAGGCCAGGTCTGTGTTCAGGTGGACTTGAGAATGAATAAGACAAAGTCTTTGTCCTCAGGGAAATTAATATTTAGTTATGAAGGTGAGAAATATATGCAAATAATGGCAAAGTGGGGTGGGCTGAGAGCCACAAATGAGTTATAAACAGATGAGGGAGTTTTCGGGTGACACACGCAGTGGTACACACAGCACAGACTGCAGTCTCCTGTGGAGGAGGCGTGAGGTGTCAGAGAAAGCCCTGCCCCTGGGGGGAGAAGGGGCCGCTGCCAGGGACCTGATGTCTCTGCCAGGTGAGCAGGCTGAGGCAGTGTCGGTGCAGCCCCCTTCCTGTGCCCCCACCCAGACAGGGTCAGAGGTGGTCCTGGAGGAGGACCTCCACCAGAACTGAGAATATTGGCCCTGCCTGCTGTCAGTCGGCTCCAGAGGAATGTCAGAGGTTCTCGTTCCAGCACTAAGCCGTCTCATACACTTAGTCGCATGTTAGTGATGTGTCTGGTTGTCTGGTTTGTGTCATTAAGACATTAGAGGCACATTAGTCTCAAGAGGACACGGATGGGTCAGTACAAAGGTGCCTTGCTCCTTGCAAGGTCATTCCAGCCCAGGTGTTCTTGTCACACTTGAGTGTGAAGTGCGCTCCTGGGCTCAGGACACAGAGCCATCTGCTGGGCCCACACAGGTCTGCCCTGAGGCCAGGCAGCTCCTCCAGTTCCATCTTCCAGAAGTAAAACTGCAGAACAAGCTGGTGCTTCTCAACCCCCACATCCCGTAAGCACGACACTGACCCTCTGACAGGGAGAACAAGAGTGAGCTTTGTCCCAGGTCGCGTTCACTTGGAGGTTGTAGGAAGTCTGTGCTTTTCTTACGGAAATCACAGGATTCCACAAATAGCTGTGTCCTCCTTCTGAGAACCCCACAAAGTAAGTGGGTTTTGAAAACAGGTGTTCGGCTTTCACCCTGAGCCAATAGGTCTGGATGTCTCCTGGGAGAAGAGTGTCATTTTGAACAAAATGAGAACCCATTTTGCAACAAAGACGTCAGGAACTCTTACCTGAGCAGAGACACGCTCTGACTCAGGAGTCCAGGAGGAGCAGGGACCTGCCCTGGAGAGCCCAGCGGCCAGGCTCTGAGCCGCCCTCATGCTGGGGGCACCATGCTAGTGGCTAGAGGTATGTTGCTAGAACATTCGCTTCTCCATCCACCCGTCTCAACTCACATGGATGCAGTTATCAGGCCACTCTCCTTAAAACAGATTAGATGTGTTCAGTAGATAATTATCAAGGATCTGGATTTGAGGCATGAGAAGAAGGTGGACGTAACCTGATGATGTAACTGCAGTAGCTTTCTCTGTTAAATCCCCCTGTGGAAGCAGAGACCCATCGTTTCCCCTTGCATGTACATTCTCTCAGTGTGAAGTACATCATGGGAAAACCCTGTCAACGGAAAAGAAGCCAGCTCTATAACATAAAAGGTTTATTCTGGGCCTCCCTTCTGGGCAACAGCTCAGCGTTAGGGTGTTTCTGGGGTCCCCTTGGCCCAGAAGGGGTCCATTCAGTCAACTGGGGAGAGCCTAAGATTTTATTTTATTGCATAGTACTCTGACCATTCAGAGACCCATGGGATGGAAGAACCGACACAGAGAGGAGAAATGATATCAAAAATACAGAAAGCAGAGACTCCGGCCCGAGCCCACACGTCCCCCACACCCTCAGCTGATCCCACCCACGTGTTCTTTGAAATTTCTGTTTCTCTCTGCTCATAATTGTCAATAGTCAGGAATACATTCCAGTTAAAAATAGTCCCCCATTAAAATGTAAGTATCTTTAGAAGGCAAACACAAATAATTTACAAATGAAACCATGAAGGCACTACCATTTTCGTTCATTCATTGTTCTGTTAATCAAATATTGAGTTCTCACCATGAATATGTTTTAGAATCCCATTTAAAATAAATCCAGAGAGAAGTTCAATGGTGATACAGGTAATCCCCAAGTTACAAAAATTCAACTAACATGACTCACACTTACAAACGGATGTCCAGCTCACATACGAATTCACCTTAAGAACAAACTTACAGGCTCGGCGCCTATGGCTCAACCGGCTAGGGCGCCAGCCACGTACACCTAAGGTGGCGGGTTTGAATCCCCAGCCCGGACCCGCCAAACAACAATGA